TCATCAGCCTGAGACCAGAAGAACTAGATGGTGCCCAGCTACCACCAATGACCACCTTGACACGGAACACAACAGAGAGTCCCAGATGGAGCAGGAGAAAGGTGGGGTGCAGAATTCAAATTCTAGTAAGAAAACCAGACTTAATGGTCAGGGACTGGAGGAACCCCACTCCCATTACTGCCAAATGATCTCATGAACAAAGTGGCCATGGTGACAGAGATGGAGGTTATGCATGGCCTCAGCAATAAGCACTTCCATTCACCCAGGTCAACTTGGCTACAGCGATTCCTGAGTGCCCAATTTGCCAGCAGCAGAGACCAAAACTGAGTCCTCACAACGGCACTGTTCCTCAAGGTATCAGCCAGCAGCCTGGTGGCAGGTTGATTACATTGGACTGCTTCCATCCTGGAAAGGGCAGCATTTTGTTCTTGCTGGAATAGACACTTATTCTGGATATAGATTTCCCTTCCCTGCACGCAATGCTTCCGCCAAAACTACCATCCATGGACATACAGAATGCCTTATCCACCGTCATGGTATCCCACACAGCATCACCTCAGATCAAGGGACTCACTTCACAGCAAATGAAGTGTGGCAATGGGTCCATGCTCATGGAATTCACTGGTCTTACCATGTTCCCCATCATCCTGAAGTAGATGGCTTGATAGAACAAAGGAATGGCCTTCTAAAGACACAATTATTGTGCCAGCTAAGTGAAAATACCTTGCAGGGTTGGGGCAATGTTCTCCAGGAGCCTGTATATGCTCTAAACCAGCGTCCAGTATATGGTGCTGTTTCTCCCATACAAGAAAGAAATACTAATAACGATTACAGTCCTAGTATCTGCAACTGGTCACATGGTCATAACTGGTATTTAGAACTACCTTCTACTACCACCCATTCTGTATTCCCTTTGCCCTGAGCAAGTACCTCTGCCAGTTTTATTCTTTGCCTGGTGGGGTGACCCAAACCTTCATTTGAGAAGGGTCTGGGCCATTAGTAGTCATGTCGGAAATGGGTTGCTATAGTTTTCCATTGACTTTCATCACAGGGCATGGCAGTACTAAGAGATGCCCTAAGGGATCTGCATTCTAGACATACTCTCCTTTACCTCTATTATGTAATATCAATCCAATTTCCTCTTGGTAATCAGGACCAATCACACCAGCCAATATGGTAACTCCCTTCTTTGCCTCTTGATTCATGGGTCCAGGAATCAAGGGGTGGAAATGGGAGTTGCACCACTATTACCCCTAGTGGCCCACTTGCAAAAATTTTCTTCCTGTCCTTGCAACCCTATGCTCTGTGGGTCTAGAGGTCTTAGTTCCAAAGGGAGGAATGCTCCTACCAGGCGACACATCATTGAACTGCAACAATGCCATGTGGCCACTTTGGGCTCCTTATTCCTCTGGTTCAGCAATTTTTAGCAGTAATTTTTTAATTAAAGTGTGTAAATTTGTTTTTTAGACATAATGCTATTGTATGCTCAACAGACTACTGTATAGTGTAAACTTAACTTTTATATGCACTGGAAAGCCAAAATTGTGGTGGTCTGGAACTGAACTTGCAATATCTCTGAGGTAAGCCTGTATCACGAACAGGTATATACGTTAATTATACACATGTTATTTAATATAATTTATTA